CAGAGGCCCAGCTATCTACACCCAGACAGCGGTGGAACCCCCAGGAGCCGCTGGAGATGGGATGGCCTATTTCTCCTCCCCCACGCCCCAAGTCTGGCCTAAATAAACTACCTTACACTGAACACCCACCGTGTACACCCACAGGGTGGGAGGGAGCCACCTAGGAGCCCCTCTGTTCTGGGGGGGGGGAGCCTGAGGACTCTACCAGAGAAGCCTGCACCTTCCCCTTGCACCTTGCCCCAGTCCAGGTCCCAGCTGGGCCCTTGCACAGCTTCTAATTAACAGGTTCCCGGCCCACACAACCCAAAGGGGTCCCAAATTCAAAGCCCCCTCCTTCTCCCCTGCCTTCAGCACAACGGTCTCTCGGCAATTTTTTCTAATGTTTTTTCAAGGCCAGTTGGGCATCGGTGGCTTCTTTCCGGACCCCAGTACTCAGCCATAATTATATCTGGCCTATATTTGGCCTTCTTGTCATTCTGGGAAACTCGGAGTATGTCTGAGTCATGGGTCTGAGGTCCCAAGCTCCCCAGAAACCTCGGAAAGGGTGTGTCTGACTCTTCCCCAATCCTTGCATCTCTACCTTTTCCTGATATGGCCGGACCCTCTGACACACACATAAACGCCAAGCAATACATTCAGATAAATTCACACACACTTTCCCAAAGACGAACTGAGGAAACCTGAAGGATTTGCCGCTTCGCTTGGAAGTAGCAGCTGTGGAAGTATCTCGCCCATCCATCATCATATATGAATTCTGGCTGACTTGATTTTCTCTCTTCTAGAGAGGAAAAAAACCAATTGATAAAACTTTTACTTGAAGCTCCAACCTAATACCTGGGAGTGGCATGCTCATGGTAAATGAGACCATGTCAGCCACAAAGTGCTTCACTACAGGCAAACACACGGTCATGTTCAACCTTCCTCAAGTGAAAAGAAATGAAATCAAACTCAGCATTGGAAATCAACCACGCAGCCAGCCAGAGGCCACAATCCAGGTATCAACGGACATTCCCTCTTTTTACCATTGAATCTAACCTTACTTCTCTTGGACTGTTTGATAAGATCATGGGAAGGTGGCCCACCGCATTCATTTTCCCTCCACTTCTCAGTCTCTCAACAAGATGGAGGAGAGGGCACCTCAGCTCTGGCGAGGGGCTGCACTGACCATGTGCACCTGGAACAGGGCCTCTCCTCCACTGGGGAAGGGGCTGAGAGACCTACCAGTCCCAAGCACTTCCTCAGTCTTGCGCAGTCTTCCCACCCTGATCCTGACCCTCTTCTTAAAGAGCACTATCCTCGTTCTCCTTCTTTCCTACTGTTTTTAACCCCTGGGAATCTGGTTAGAGAGACCTGTACGGCTTCTCCCGCTCCCGCCCCTCTCAAGTTCTCTACATCTATCTCCTTCCTTCTCTGTCACTTGTCTCCCAACCCTCTCCCTCTGCCTGTGTCTATTTTCTGTGAAGGCTGAACTCCCTCTTTTGCACCTCCATATATCACTCCTTCTCCATTACCTCAGTTGAAGGTAGAGAGAAAAGAACTACAATGTAACCGTCTGTTTCACCCAAAGCATCTCCTCTAACCCAACATGCTTTGCAAGTCTGGCTACCTGGAGTCTCAGGCGGCGGCAGTGAGCTGGAGGCTCAAACGGCTTATGGAAGACACTACCCAGCCCAATGGCTTTGCACTCAAGCAATAGGTTCTGGCTTTGATCATGGGTCAAGGGTTGGGGAGGTTTTCCCTAACAGAGTGTGACCACACCAACTCTCTACCACATAGCACACCTCTAACCCCCTCAGACTGGAAAAGAGAGGGGTTTCATAGTCCCCAGTTCAAGCCTTTTACTCTAGTTGTTCTGTGGATCAATGAAGGCTCTACAGTAGCATCAGAAACCTCTCTCCTTTTAGGGACACAGAAATAAGACAGCAACAGAGAATCACGGAGACACAACGTTCACGGACACACATATAAATTTGAACACAGATATCCTGAAATACAATTCACCACTCCCCGAAAAAAGGGACAAGGCACAGATATTGACAACCCAGACAGACAAACACAAATCACAAGCTCCATAAAAAGCCCCTGCACATAGAACGCAGAAAATGCATCAAGAGACACACTCAAACTGTACTTAATGGGTAGTGTCCACGAGTACTGGGCACCCAGGTCTGCCCAGCAGCCCATGCTAACGTCTGAACTTGAAGGAGGACACTCCCCAGGTGCATCTGAAACAAAACCTCTCTGTGGAACCCCAGGCAGAAACCTTCCTGGACCAGAGCGAAAATGAAAGTACTGGAGGGGTCACAGGCCTCCCAGAGACCTGTCCCATGAACAGCAAAGGCCAAGGCCATGACCGTAAGTTCCTCCATGCCCAGTGAGCCCAAATCCTCACCTGCCTGCCCGTGCTGCCCAGGGCCCTTCCTCAGTCCACCTCTACCCGGAAGCTGAATGTTCTCCCCCAGAGAGCCCGGACTAGGTAAAAAGGGGCGTGCAGGCAAGCTGGTGACCGCTGGAGTTCACATACATTTATTCAATTGACACCAATGGGGAGTGAGGGGAGACAGATTTTTCTTTTCTTCCACACAAACCATCAGAAGATTTCACAGTCTCCCCACAGTGGAGAAGTCTAAATCAATGCACACCCAGTGGACAGAGAACGCAGATAGCAGCCGGCTGTACAGATATTTACACATAATTACAGGACCCCCTGCCACAGGATGTGCCCTCACCCACCCGCCCCCACCTCTCC